CCACCGTAAACGGAGACTGGCCAAGCTGTCATCTGGCTCCGAGTCTGAGGAAGAGGAGGAGGAAAAATGGGGTTCTGACAAGGAAGTAGCAAAGCAGCACCCATCGCATCCTCGCCACCACGGAAAGCTTGCTAGGACTGATGGCCATATCGCAAATGGTGGTGGTAGCAGGAGCGCCACTGAACCTCGGTGAGTTGACTTCTGTCTTTCATTGCCAGTCTGGGCAGTTCACTCTGCCTGCAGCGTGTTCTTCAGCGTGCAATTACTTTTTCTTCTCTGTCTATCTCTGTCTCTGCCGAGCCTATTCTTTCATCTACACACACGCACATCCTTTAGGGAACATTCACAAAGGACGGAAAACGGTGCTGCCGTGGAGCGAAAAAGTCCTCCAACGCGTAAGTTCCTCTAGCCATGCCTCCTTCCTATTTTTTTAACTCCCATTGGGCGGTTACTATGCTCACCGTTACACATATTTGAGGTGAAGTCTTGGGAGTCCAGTGTAATTTTTTATTCAAACGTCCACAGAAATCTGGTCATGTTTTGTTGTTCCAACCCAGCTGTTGTGATACTTGTGTACCGCAAAACTGGGTTTCCTCATCCCCCCCATCACAGCTTAGGACCTAGTCCTGCTTCTCCAAAGCCTTCTTAGTTGCGTGATTTGGGCGCAGGAGGTTGGCGGAGCAGCTGCGAAGGCGTTAATCCCTCCCCATTATAAGCTTTTGTCAGGGATATGACCAGCTCACGGAAGCCGCCGTAATAGCTACACCTTTTTAAGACCTTTTTGTCTAGCTCCTTAAACCTAGACAATGCCATAAAAACTGTCGGGATGGCGAGAGATTAAAAAGCCGCTTTGATTGATGCCGCCTCCGGAGCCCAGGTTCCTAGAACGGGCGGTAAGATTCGCTTCGATCGAAAGAAGGCTTCACCTTCAAAGAAAAGGGTGTAGCTTTTCCGCTAGGCATGTCTAGCAACCTTGCCATTAACTAGTACTTGTGCAACAAAGTCTGCATTTTTCTCACGAGCCCACCCCTGCCCGTCGTAAGATTTTAATAATTCTACTTACGTCCTATAGACCTCTGCGGAGTTCTCCTACTACTAACACGATGACTATTTAATTTTCAAGAAGTCAAGATAGGTGAACGAACGTTTCCGATTAATTCACCATCAGGCGTGTACAATAATATAAAGGGGGTAGAGTTAGCAAAAGTTTAAGCAATCAACCAACGGTAATTAAGAGGGAAGGGGGGAATTGTTAAGAGATCAAAGGGGGGCAGGGGGAGGAGGGACGTGTCCTACAATTAGTTCATATCAACTGGTCATCTCATCGTCGCTTCGTGGCGTCTTGACACCAGTTTTCACTGTCTGCTCATCGTCTCTTCACATGTTGGCGGAGCCTGACTTGTGGCTTGTTTGCTATGCCCATTCCGAGAGGTTGCCATGAGAAGCAGACAGAATGGTGTCAGAACAGTTGCGACCAACATAGTTTGACACAGACCTCTGTCCTAAGCATCGAGCTCAGACAGCAGCGGGTAGACGTTTGGCCTGAGAGATACCATACAGCTTAATTCTCCAAAATGGATAAATCGGATAAAATATGGCGTTTTCAGTGGACTTATGGAGTCAAGACAGAGCTTAGGACTAGAAGGCCTATTACTCATCATTCACACAAGCCTACTGACCTGAAACTGGGTTTCCCGTAGGCCGAACGGTGCTATTTGTCGCCTAATCGGTTTCAGCTTTTCTG